GAGAGATTCTAGATGATTTTCAACACCCCTCCCTGCTCTGTAACTCTGGTTCCCTATGTGCTAAATGCACCTTGAAATAAACACTTCCTTTTTTGTGTGTGTTGGGCGGTGAAATCCTCATTTTACAGAAGAGGAAACTAAGATTCAGAGAGCTTAGGGACCCTGGCTAAGCTTACACAGGTATTAGGAGGCAGAGCTAGAACTTGAGCCCAGACAACCTGACACCATAGATAATGCTTTTAATCATTATCACATATTGCCTTTATATGTCTCAGATTTCATGGTAAAGAAGGAAGGAATATTTTGTTACTTTCTTAGAAAATCAATTGTCAGGGGATCTCTTGAAAAATTTGTTACATTTAGAATTCTTGACATTGGGCCAGACATGGTGGCTCACACCTGTAATCCTGGCAGTTTGGGAGGCTGAGGTGGGTGGATCATTTGAGGTCAGGAGTTTGAGACCAGCCTGGCCAACATGGTGAAATCCTGTCTCTACAAAAAATACAAAAATAGTCAGGTGTGGTGGTGGGCACCTGTAATCCCAGCTATTTGGGAGGCTGAGGCAGGAGAATTGCTTGAACTGGGGAGGCAGAGGTAGCAGTGAGTCGAGATCATACCACTGCACTCAAGCCTGGATGACAGAGTGAGATTCCATCTCAAAAAAAAAAAAAAAAAAGAATTCTTGAAATATTGGAGTTTGATTTTTAATAAAGGAAAATGTTGTAAATGACATCATAATTTAATGTCCAAGAATTTAAGACATGAGATGAGAAGCACACACCTTCCTCCTGCCTTACTCAACTCACTTAGTTGCAGGTGCTGACACATTTACTTTTCAGGTTTTTGCCTGCCCAGCTGAGCCCACTATGTTCAGGCCAGGCTGCTGAAAAGTAGCTGCACAAGTGTTGACTAGTGACAACTAGGATTCATGCTCCTGTCTCTTAAACTTGATATCCTGGGAGTCTGGGGAAACACTGGGCTGCAAATGGCAGCTTCCCCTCATCCTCATCCAACAGAGTTTCCCATGCCCACATGATGAGATTCTGGCAGTTTCCTGGTTTGCACAGGCATTCCTCCTGAAACTGAGTTCTTTATTAAACACTATCCTGCCTGGCTGGGGCTATGGTACCTCTCAGCCCTTGGAGGCAGTGTGGTAAAGGGCAGTGGAGGAGTGCAGACTTCATAATTTTTGCATATCTGTATCCCACTTGTTTATACTTACTTACATTTTTCTTTAAAAGGAGTCACTTTTGAAATTTAAATACCTTAACTTTTTAAAGAAAATGTCAAGTTTTATAATTTTGTATCTAGGTCTATGATTCATGTTAATTTTCTAATTGGTGTGAGATAAGGATTCAGAAGTTTTGTTTTTACATCCTGATGTCTAGTTATTCCTGCACTATTTATTGAAAAGACTATCTTTTCTTCACTGAATTGTCTTTGCACCTTCTTCCCTCTCCTTGGGAGTTAGACTGGAATTTTCGTTCCTCTTAATTGTTAGCTAGGAAGCCAAAATATGAGCTACCACCTACCTGTCTTCAACCAAGACTCCTTCCAGGAGCACCTCCTACTGCCCATCCATTAGTTTGGAATCTAAGTTTGCTAATACCTTTGGGCATTGTAATTTACTCTCTTATTGGCTTCTCTTTGGTCACTTCTGCTTATTAATAAAAATTCTCCCTTTTCTTGAGAGTTTGCAAGTGCTCTGGCAGTATCTCTGCCAATTCCTCATGTTATCTCCTTTTCTACCAACCTGGCTGTGATGCTCCAAAAGTTACAACTTACAAAATAAGTTCAAAATTCTATAAGGGGTGGAATAGGGTAGCAAAAGGTTTGAATTTTTGTGGAGGAGAAAGCAATGTCATTAACTATTGGCATGTCACAAATGAGAGTCACAATTTAAGGGCTCCAGTGGCCAATATGTTATTTCCCCCATAAGATTTCTGTTTTGGAGTAGCCATGCATATACTATCACACATATATGCACATATACAGACATAAACACACATACATACACAGATACCTGGAACTATTTTGTGTTTATGACTTTCTTTCTAACTAATTTACAGACATATTTTATAGACATGCTATTGGGGGAAATGATTAAGTTATAGGATCTTAGAGACACTAAGGGATCATCTGGGTTGGGTGGGTTTCAACTCTGATAAATTCGTAGGGAAGGCTTGCTAGGCTGAGTGTAGCTCAGCAGAGAAGATAGCTGTCATTGACTAGTCATGGCCTCCCATTGCTGGGGGTGGTGGGATGTATATGGTGTATGACTAACCCTAATCTAAGACTAGGGCACTCTTTTCCAGTGCCTAGTCTGAGATTAGAGTTAGTCATATACCATAATCTCTTCTACACTATTCTTGACAGCTGGATTCTACTCATTGCAGGAATACTTTCACTAATTGTGAGCTTGCTATTTTTCAGGAATACTCATTGCATTATTGAACAGCTCTTCTACATGTTTGAGTCCAAAGTCTATCTCATAGCATCGTCTAATCATTTCTCCTAATTCTACCATTTAGAGCCATACAAACCGATTTGATACCTATTCTACATCATAGCTCTTCAAATATCAGAAGATAGCCATTTTGTAATCTCTTCTAGATAAAAACCAGCATTTCTTTCAACTGTTTCTCAGATCTTGTAGTTCCTGGGTCTTACATCATACTGGATGTCATTTAATTTTTCCTTGTTCCCTTTCAGGCGTGCTACCCAAAAGGGGGCAGAGAATTTCAGATAGAATCTGACCAAGTAAAATTAATTGGGACTCTTTACTATTGGCTTCCATGTACTAACATTAATAAGTCTCAGTTTGCACCTGAATCATGTTACTTTGTTATTTCATATTGAGCTTTTAATTAAAAAGTTCTTTCTATAAGAACTATTCAATTAAGCTCTTCTCCTTCCTGAGTTTATGTCTGAATTTTTACCTTTTGAATTGTATCTTAATAATGATTGCCCTTTATTGAGTACCTATGATGCACACTCTGTATTTTCTTTAATAGATATGAAGTAGATATTCTATTCTAATTTTGCAGTTGTGACAACTGAGATTTAGAGATGTCCAATCTACTCACACAATTATTAAGTTGCAAGGCCTGGAATCAAACCCAGTTCCCTCTGGCTCTAAAGTCTATTCTCTTTTGGCTACTGATATGGTTTGGATCTGTGTCTCCACCCAAGTCTCATGTTGAATTGTAATCCCTAATGTTGCATGTGGAGCCTGGTGGGAGGTGGTTGGATCATGGAGGTGGATTTCTCAAGAATGGCTTAGCCTCTTGGTGCTATTCTCCTGATAGAGTTCTCATGAGGGCTGGTTGTTTAAAAGTGTGTAGCACTTCCCTCTTCCCTTCCTCTTGCTCTGGTTATGTAAGATGCTGGCTTCTCCTTTGCCTTCCACTATGATGGTAAACTTTCTGAGGGGTCCTCAAAAGCAGATGCCGCTGTGCTTACTGTACAGTTTGAGGAACCATGAGCCAGTTAAACCTCTTTTCTTAAATTATCCAGTCTCAAATATTTCTTTATAGCAATGCAAAAATGGACTAATATAGCAATCAGATACTCAATTTAGCAATTCTGAATACTGAATCCATCACAGAAAAAAAAAAGCTTGTCAAGATGTTCTTTGTTTTTCGCATTGTGATGAAGTCAAACACTTTGTTTTTTAAAAATAAATAAAAAGGAAATGAAGTTTGTCTTGACCAGTTCCTGGTGAACTCTTACTGATTCTTAAGAGTCAGCTTTTCAAAGTGCTCACTAGCTTCTTGCTTAGCTATCCAATCTAGAACTTTGCTGGGGATTAATGGCAAATGTGTCTGTCTATAATTCCTAGAACCCACGTTTATGGGGACGTTTGTTTATGTTCTTTATTGGATCCCTGTCCTATTTCCCATAAAATCCCATGGGCTGCTCACAGTGGTTCTACCCTTATATCTGCATGTTTGTTCAGTTCTCTGGTGTAGAAGTGGGGTGGGGGAGGGGCTTTGCTCTCATTTAAGGTAGCTAAATGCTTTCATAATGTATTCCTGCTTATTCTTTGGTTTTCTCCCAATGTTATTTCTTCCATTTCCAATTTGTAGGTAAAAAGCAAAGCCTCTCTCTTAATGGAGGGGTTAATGGAATAGAGGCACTCAATAAAGTTCCAGTAATGTCTCTTAAGTGGATTCTAAAGTAAACACTTTCATGGCCCCAACAACAACAAAAGACAGTGAATCCACTTACCCAAAAGCCCACCTTGTATTACAAGGCAATGAAATGCGTTTGGGAACTATCTACCCTTTCAGATGTTCTGTGCTGGGAGATCTCTCCATTATCAAAAATAATAGCCAAACGTGAGTACTAACAAATATGGTGAATACTTATTAGTGTCTCAAATAGACTGAAGAGCATATGCATTAAAAAATTTTTTTTAGTTTCCAGCTCATGAAAGACTGACATATCTAAAAATCATAGATTAGGTAAAGAATGTGTGCAAATTAAAATGCATGCACAGAAACGTGAGAGAGAGGAAGGAGCGTTGTCATCGCAGACGTTTAACTGGGTAAGTGTTATGAAGTAAGTACTTTACAACCCAGCTAAAAGCCTACTCTCGGTTGTTTTCATGCTTACCAGTGCTAGAAAGAGAGCCTGTCTGCGAAACACCAGTAATTGCACGTCGTGTGTGTGGAAGGACACTGAAAGACTCGATAAATTACGAGGAGGAGGGAGCTAGCTCTCACTGCAAACTTGACCTAGCTTAGATTAGCAACCCGAGACTTGACTTTCTATATAACCCTTCCTCTTTGTAGTCCTCAAAAGAATGCCGGGACAAAGCCTGGCTCCCTCTTTCCTACTAACTCCCTATCAGGAAGCTCCAATGCCCTTTCAAATCCCTTCAGGGGCTTTGAAATCCCGCTTTGAGCACAAAGTGGTCATGAATATTCATTGCGGTGTGGATTTCCCCCCCCCCCCCCGCCCCGCCCAGCACCCTGGGCTCCAGGCAGCTGCAACTAGCGGAAAGCGCGCGCCAGCTGCATGCAGGGAAACAGTTCTCATTTTGTGTGACTACATGTCCAGCCTCGGGCCAGCTCGAGATGGCCACATTGTGCGTCTGTGGGAGGGGCTCTACCGAGACGAATGGACTTTTCTGAGGCAGGGCCCAGGAGGTGTAATTGGAGGGGCCTCAGATTTCCCTGCCACCCACCTGCCAGGACAAGTGAAATTCCACTGAGAAAAATTCAGGCCTCTCTAGGAGTGTGTCCCCCTTTTAAGAAACAAATAACCCTTGTGTGAATAGTGGAAGGCTTTTTACTCTGTGGTGGCGCCTCCTTTGCAATTCTCTACAATGGAGACTGTTTGTTTCTTCTCCCTTCTTAGTGATAACAACTGCTACTTGCATTTTTTCCTTTAAAGATAATGAAGTCATGTTGTCTCAGTCTTTCCTTTCCTTCATTCTTTACTTAGTAATACCAATAGCACTTTTAACTTACGTCTAGTTAAAAGCCAGACATCCTGGATTCAGATTCTAACTTGACCCCTTACAAGCGCATGAATGTGGCAAGTTAGCCTTTTTTGCATCTATTTCTTTATCTGCGTAATAGAGATATCAATACCACCTGCCTCATGGGTTTGGTCTGAGAATAAAGAATTATATACATCGGGCCAGGCGCGGTGGCTCACACCTGTAATCCCAGCACTTTGGGAGGCCGAGGCGGGTGAATCACGAGGTCAAGAGATAGAGACCATCCTGGTCAACAAGGTGAAACCCTGTCTCTACTAAAAATACAAAAAATTAGCTGGGCATGATGGCGCTTGCCTGTAATCCCAGCTACTCAGGAGGCTGAGGCAGGAGAATTGCCTGAACTCAGGAGGCGGAGGTTGTGGTGAGCAGAGATTGCACCATTGCACTCCAGCCTGGGTAACAAGAGGGAAACTCCGTCTCAAAAAAAAAAAAGAAAGAATTATATAGTCATGTGACAGCCATGCATTGCTTAAGATCTGAGAAATGCATCATTAGATGATCATGTATGTAGTTGTGTGAACATCATAGTGTGTGTTTACACAGATTCAGATGGTCTAGCCTTCTACACACCTAGGATCTACGATATGGCCTGTTCCTGCTGGGCTACAAACTTGTACAGCATGTTACATTACTGAATAGTGCAGGCAATACACTGGTAAGTATTTATGTATCTAAACTTATCTAAACAGAAAAAGTAAAAATACGGTATTATACTCTTATGGGACCACAATAGTATATTGACAGAAATATTGTCATATATCACATGACCTCATAAAACATGTTTGAATAGCACCTGACGTATAGTAACCATTTAGTACATGCTAGTTATTATTGTTATTATTTTGATTGGAAAGGCCTGGTTGAAGATGGCTGAGTGTAAACCAGAATACAGGTCAGCTGGGGCACGTTTTTAGGTCAGAGTCTCAGATCCTAGTCTGTACTCCATGGATTCTAAAAGCAATTGAAACCTCAGGCTGGTCCTGGAGCAAGAGCTGGTCCTTTGCTTGGGGCTCTCAGTTTGAGAAGTTTGAGCTTTAGGATTCTCCACTGACCACCTCTCCCTGTCTTTGCTCTCTTCCTATCTTTAAACTCCCATTGAACTGGCATGCTATCCTCAGCATGGCACTCAGGCTCTTGATCCCACTCAGCTCTTCTAGTTACATTGGCCATGGTACCTACTACCTTCCTATGTCTCCTAGTACTGTCTACCTACCATCTCTCCACAACACATATTACACCCCCCGACCCATAATTCCCATTGGTTTCCAGGTATGCCAGTCTTCTTACAGTTTTCTAAACATGTCATAGTGTGGGAAATGCTACGTGTTCACTACCTCATTTCACCTTCCTAGACAGATGAGAAGACATCTCCTGGTTACCTTTTGCAGGTAGGTTGGAATATTGACCACATTTTTGACTACAGAAAGGAAGTGGAGGGATATGGCATTGTGGTTCAAGAAAACTAAGAGGTGTCTGAATTCTTCATGCTTATTCACCCTTCTCCATATGCCAGGATGTGCAAAACTCTAACTCAGTGGATTATAAAATAGAAGCAGGCTGGGTCCTGAATTTCTCTTGTGGGGAAGCTGACCAGTTGGCATAAGATGTTATTTTTAATAAGAAAAAAGCCATTGAGATTATGGAGTTTTATTTATTACCTCAGCCTATCCTATTCTATCCTGACTAACAGCACATATACCATGCTTTTTCTCATTTTGGCATCTCTATAGTTTCATTACGTCAGTTGGAATGCCTTCCTGCATTCCTACCCTGTAGCAAATTGCTACTATCCTTGGAGTCTCCTCTGTGATCTTATAGCACCATGTTCAGGTTTTTGGCCTGAGTTATTAGATGGATCTTGGCGCCAGTAAGGAAAATGAAAGGGAGGAAGAGGTGTACATTTGGCAGAGAACTCCGTATTTGCATGATGTGTTTGAGAATGGTTCATCCAGGAATATAAGGATCTGAAGCTCAAGAGAGAGGCCTGAGGTAGAGATAGGTAGAGGGTTGAGAGTCCTGAGCAGATGGGAAAAAGTGGGCAAGATCACCCATGGCACGTACGTAAATTAAGATAAGAGTGTGGAAGATGGAAAGATGAGTCTTAGGGGAACACCATCCTTTAAAGGAAGGCAGAAGAAACAGGACCCTTATAAACGTCACAATTTACAGTTTCCCCATGGGCCATTCAGGATTGAGCATGAAATCTGGGAATGTAGGACTAGTTTATTGATCAGCATTTACAAATACGAAATTTAGTTTTGAGGAAAGCAGGGTACAGTGCAATCAAAGCTGTTGAGTAGACCCAAAAATGCCTTTAAAGGTGGAATTGCTCACCTTTGTTATTGAGAAAACTCCCAGGCAAAAGTTTAGTTTTGATCATGTTAAACGTAATTTGAAAGCCGACCTTGGCTTTTATATTCCTGGCTTTCCTCAACCCGAAGCCTTCTGACTTCAATGAACCTAAAGGAATGAGAATTGCAAGGATTTGTAACTTGGTATAGGAATTAATTGTGCTCACTAGCCTATAAATATTTTTTGTCTCCATGTGTTTGCTTTTTGGAAGTAAGTCATAAATTGTCTAAATGGTCACCTTTTTTGTTGTTGTTGTTTAAATGGTACCTGGACAGCTATGATGGGTCAAGAGAAAGAATTGCTTTATACTACAAGGCTATCAGAAGATTACTGAGGTTGCAGTGAGCCGATATCTCTCCACTGCACTCCAGCCTGGGTGACAGTGAGACTGTCGTGAGGCAGTGAATGTGGTAATCTAAGGGAGAGATGACAACGGACTGCAACAGAGTGGCAGTGGTGGAGGGAGTGAGAAGCAGTTGGACTTGGGATATATTTTGAAGAGGAAGCTGACAAGATTCAGATGTGAGAAAAGAAAAAAGAAAGAGGAGTCCAGAAAGACTTGAAAGGTTTTGAATAGAGTCACCATCAACTGAGGGGGTGCAGACTGGGAGTGGAGCCGGCTTCAAAGGGAAGAACAGAAGTCCAAGTTTGGACTTGTTAAGTTTGATACATGAAGCAGGCAGCTGGATAAAGGCCTGGAGTTCGAACAGGAGTGGTGGCTCACACTTGTAATACTAGCACTTTGGGAGGCCGAGGCTGGCAGATCACTTGAGGCCAGAGTTTGAGACCAGCCTGGCCAACATGGCAAAACCCTGTCTCTACTAAAAATTAAAAAATTAGCTGGATATGATGGCAGGTGCCTGTAATCTCAGCTACTCGGGAGACTGAAACAAGAGAATCACTTAACTTGGCAGGCAGAGGTTGCAGTGAGCCGAGATCGTGCCATTGCACTCTAGCTTGGATGACTCTGTCTCAAAAAAGAGAAAGATGTGGAGTTCAGGAGAGAAGTCTGAGCTGGAGGTGCACATTTGGCAGCTTCTGGTGATATTTAAGGGTATGAAACCAGGTGAGATCTCCAAGAGGGTGAATAAGGCAGAGAAGGGGCCTGAGGGCTGAGCTCTGGGGATGAGGTCAGAGAGAAAAGGCTGGACCAGTGAAGGAGTCTGAGAAGGAATGCCGAATGAGGAGAAGGAAAATGAAGAAAAGGTTTGTGCTGAAAGCCAAGTAAAGAAACTGTTTCAGAGAAAAATTAGTCATCACTGTGTTGGATGCTACTGACACACATCTCAGATGTGACCTGAAAAGTGAGCAATGGACTTAGAAAAGTGTAGGTCAGGTCAGGTAAGGTGGCTCACACCTGGAATCCCAGCCCTTTGGGAGGCCAAGCTGGGCAGATTGCTTGAGGCCAGGAGTTCAAGCGCAGCCTGGCCAACATGGTGAAACTGCGTCTCTACAAAAGCATACAAAAATTAGCTAGACATCTTGGCGTGCACCTGTAATCCTAGCTTCTTGGGAGGGTGAGGCAAGAGAATTGCTTGAACCTGTGAGGTGGATGTTGAAGTGAGCTGAGATTGTGCCACTGCACACCAGACTGGGTGACAGAGTGAGACTCCATCTTAATAATAATAATAACAGGGCTGGGCGCGGTGGCTAAAGCCTGTAATCCCAGCACTTTGGGAGGCCAAGGCGGGTGGATCACGAGGTCAAGAGATCGAGACCATCCTGGTCAACATGGTGAAACCCCATCTCTACTAAAAATACAAAAAATTAGCTGGGCACAGTGGTGCATGCCTGTAATCCCAGCTACTCAGGAGGCTGAGGCAGGAGAATTGCCTGAACCCAGGAGGCGGAGGTTGTGGTGAGCCGAGATCGCACCATTGCACTCCAGCCTGGGTAACAAGAGTGAAACTCCATCTCAAAAAAAAAAAAATAGTAATAATAATAACAATAATTGAGGTTCTTATAACATTGATATTATTCAACATCTACAGTCTCAGAGATTCATAGGTTCAGATCGCTGGAGTGTCTCTCATTCAGAAGTATAACTCCCTTTGAAATCAGTTCCTTGTGAAAAAGGATGGGTTTCTCTTTGATGTGGAGATGAGGATATTGTCAACTATTACAGTCTCATATAAAATTCCAATGCACTGTGTTGGTTTAACGTAGTTTTTCGTTGGAAAATGAGAATCCCCAAATGTGTTTTTGGTAGCCAGCTCTGTTGCAAATGATGCCCTTGGCTGTAGCGTTAAGTAACTTAACTCTTAAAACTTTGGGCATATTCAAGTGCATATTGTTTATCTGCCCTCAATCTTGGGAGTCTGTTGTAAAGTGCACTCCACAGGGTATATGATATACCATCCTCCAGTATGTGGTGTATTTGCTGGACATCATGTATCCGAAGCTGAGACAGAGAGAGAGAGAGAGAGAGAGAGAGAGAGAGAGAGAGAGAGAGAGAGAGAGAGGAGAAACAGAAAATTACAAAAGGCCAGCTTGCTCTGTGTCAAGGGCACTGCTCCAGAGTGAAATCTGCTTGTGAGCTACTGAACAGTGTTTTTCTCATACTGAAAAAATTATCCTTGTAATCTGCAGATTGGATGACCTGTTTATGTGTTTGTTTATCACTTTAGATTTCCTTTCATCAAGTCACACGACCTCTGACTGACTGATGCTCTGCTGTTCCTAGTGGAATCATTGTCGTAACTAGCATTTTGTTTGTGGGTTTGCACTCAGTGCCCATTTTGGACCAGTCATCATGTTAGGGGCTTATATCACATCTTTACTTTGCACATAAACTCTATGAGATAATCGTTACCACTTTCATTTTAAAGGTGAGGAAATTGAGTCTTGAAGAGGTTAGGTTGCAGCAGCTAGTGAGTAATAGAGAGAGATTCAAAGCCAGGACTGCCTGCTTCCATAGCTCATGCCCTCTCTATGAAACTTCACCAAAGCGGTGAGAAGAGTCTTCCTTGTGCATCTTAGAATTCTTCCTCCACAACTTCTCACTTGAACTTGGAAGCTCCTATTTCTTGAGCCAGCCTATGGGAGAGTTTGGTGAGTTAATTTTAAATGTTCTCATTTGTGATTTGAGGGAATTGAAAATTCTCTTAGTTTAGACTTCAAATTTCATTTGTCTTAGTGTTCCTGCCTCCTCAGCTCCTGGCCTCATCAGTGGTGGGCCAGTTCATTGGTGGCTGGTGGATGCTTGTGTCTCTGGACTCCTGTCTTTGCTGTGCCTCTAACACAGAGGGTGACCTGAGGAAGTCACTTAACCAGTTCATGTCTCTCATTCTCCAAATGTAATATTAAGAGGGCTTGCCTGAACTAGCTAATTAGGCACTGGACTGCATGTTGGAACTATGAAGCCTATTAACTCAGTCAATTAACATTTATTGAGTGTTCTGCAGTGTGCAGAACCCTGGGGCAAGTGGAGGCATGGTATTCCTGACCTGTGGATGCATTATTCTATATATTTCCTCCATTTTTGCACCTCTGTGTGACTCCACCCAACCCCTAAGAATACTCTTATCCCTACCTACATTTTCTTTAATTTCTCTGTGTGCCAGTATTCACTCCTGAGTACTTTATTATCCTGGCCCACTCTACTTTACTTGCAGTGAAATAGCATGGTTTCCTCTTGGTCTTCAGGAAACCCGGTTATAATTAAACCGGTTTTGAAATGACTTCTTAATGCTCTACTAAACTGGTAATGTTTCACTGGGTTAGAGTAAGCCAAGGCCATATATAAATCTATACTATTAGCTTAGAGGAGCATACTTTTATATTTTGATTTCAAACATGTAAACTGACTTCATGGTGGGTCTTCCCACAGTGAGATCATGACAGTGGCGATAGAACTGTTATGTGTTTGGGGCTCTGAGCCAGTGCATCCATGAGCCTGAGACAGAGCATTCCTGTGATTCCCATGTCTGCCCTTCCTTGGTCTCTACCAACTCACGAGAAAACTGCATGCTGTGACCAAATCAAGGATCAAGTTCATCCTGTCTAGAGCCAGCTCTCCAAAGGTGAAACTTTACCTTATCCTATTGAATCCATTTTCTTGTATTTTTATTTTGGGATCTCTTAGTAACAAGGCAGCTTTCCGGGACTCTCCTGTGAGCAGTACTGGAGTTGATGGGCATTTTTACATATGTGTACATTTCCTTCTTTTTTTTATGTGTGTGTGTGACCTACCAGAGGAAGGTTGGCTGGAAGCCTGGGTTGAGTTAATCTCTACTCTTTGGGTTGTATTGATTAAGTGTAATAGATGTTTCAAATACTTAGCTATGTTAGAGATACAAAGGGAAAGTCTTTGAAGAATCTGTACCATAGTGAAAGATACATAAATAGTGTGTGCTGAGAAAAATGAGCAGCCCTGTGGGCCAGGAGCAAAACTACTGAAAATAATTGGTGACGGATCATCAGTTTTCTAGGAAAAGGGCATTGTGGTTCTTTATGCTTCATTTTGTCAAGTTTGAGTTGTGCCCATTTCATAAAGTATTTGGCTTGTGCTAGGTGTTGTTCAAAATGTGAAATTCTTGTTTGATATCACAAGGTGACATGAAGCAGTGGATTAAAGGAAAGAAAACTATCATTTCAGAGGAACAACAGCAATTAAACACCTGAATGTACAAAAAGCATGAAATTACTGTTCATCTCTGGAAACCAAGTTTCATCAGAAATAAGAAAACAGGATACAATTTGAGACAAATTCTTGTCTTTTGGGCTTTTTCTTTCAAGATTCCTTGATTACGGGAGTTCTATAAAGGATCCAAATATAGCCTTAAGGGATTTGTCTTGTCTGTTAAACTAATTCACCTGATGGCTGGGTGTGGCTCATGCCTATAATGCCAGCTACTCTGGAGGCTGAGGCAGGAGAATTGCTTGAACTCAGGAGGTGGAGGTTGCAGTGAGCTGAGATCATGCCACTACATTCTAGCTTGGGTGACAGAGCAAGACTCTGTCTCAAAAAAGAAAAAAATTAATTTACCTGACAACATGTAGGTTTGAAAGATTAAAGCCAGTTGGGAGGGCTATACAGGCCAGGGATCTATTCATGGTTTCTGAAGTGGGATCCCTTTTTAAAAACATCTTTTCATGACGATGACTAACACTACAGAAGCTACACTATCACCGACAGTAATCCTAAACCAAGTCCTTCGACGCAGTTCATTAGCTTTACTCTTTTGACTGTGATTATGTAAGATGTAGTTGACTTCAAGAATGGCCACTACCGAAATGTATCCTGTACAGCAAGATTTTCTTTAGGTTTCCTTTAGATACCTTTTATTTCTAGCATTAACTTTGGAGGAACTTTTACTCCCCTAGGAGTGCAGCCAAGTTGACCTTTTCAACCCTGAATCCTATTATTTATGGAATCGGTGATTCTATTCATTAAGTCACAGTAGGTCTGGCTTCACACTAATTTTAGAAGCTCTTTCCTCTTGTTACCAGGCAAGACAACAAATGGCCTGGTTTGCCTTTTGGGAGGTAAGAAACCAAAAGTACTCAGATATGACCTTTTAAAATTTGTATTAATCTTGAAAACTTGAGATCTTTCTTGGAAACATAGTAAAGAGGTCCATGATTGTTTTATAAGATTATCACTCAATTGTATATAAACTCCCCGGAATCAGAAAAAAAAAATACCATGACAGTTATCTTAAATATTGAGTCAAGAATGCTTCCTAGGACCAAGGTGCTGCCATTTCCAGATGACACCTTCGGAATTTCTTTCAGTTTAGCATTACTAACATTTTGCTGCTTTGATTGAAACAAGTTGAAGAAAGCAACTCAATGTAAATAAATACAAATGCTATTAAATGTTCATTCTTTCAAGTTAGCTTTGTGCTCTTTGATTTAAAGGAAGGTTATGATCTCAAACCTGGAGGAAATATCATGTGTGAAGCCATGTTTTTCACACTTACAATTGCAAATATTATAGGCCATATATATATATATTTCTGTTTGTTTGTTTTCTCAAGACAGAGTCTTGCTCTGTTACCCAGGCTGGAGTACAGTGGTGTGATCTCGGCTCACTGCAACCTCTGCCTCCCAGGTTCAAGGAATTCTCCTGCTTCAGCCTCCAGAGTAGCTGGGATTATAGGTGTGCACCACCACATCTGCCTAATTTTTGTATTTTTGGTAGAGAGGGGTTTCACCATGTTGACCAGGCTGGTCTCAAACTCCTGACCTCGTGATCCACCCACCTTGGCCTCCCAAAGTGCTGGGATTACAGGCACGAGCCACTGAGCCTGGCTTGGGCCCTGTAATTTAACCCCTTTATTATATTAAAGCAAATAATTAAGGATGTATGTATGCAAAGATTTAGTTACAAGTTGATACAGGCAGAAATGAGAAGTAAACTAAATGTTCAACTTTAGGAGAATAGTTACATAAATAATGGCACATGCAACAATAAAATTCTAGCTATTTGAAAAGATGTTGTAGAGGAATATTTAATGACATAATAAGATGACAAAATATACCGACTAAAAATGCAGTTTATAAAGTAGTACAGATAGCCTTAGTTTTTGACCCTTTTTGGGTCACATACCTCTTTAAGAATCTCAGTAAAAATATATATTTACCTTGGGCTTCTAGCTCCCATCTTATCTTTCCTCTGGTTATCGTTTCAGCTTAGATGGGAGCACATTACTACTATTTTACCTTTTTACCTTTTGATCTTTCCAAGCTTTGCCCTTAGCAGTTAACCTATAAAACTTGAGTTTTTCCTGGTTGGTGATTGAGATTAGGTAAATCATGAAATACTAAACTCTGAAATTTTCCCCTAAATTTTATGTAAACAAAAAGGCTTCATGCATAACTTGTGTAAGATTACATCCACTATTCATTCAGATACTTCTAATGTTCTTAGTGTTCATTTTCGATGGTCATTCATTCATTGTTGCAGATAAAACACTCCACACTGAGCCTGGCGTGTAGTAAACGAGCATGTAAATGTTAGCTATTATTTTCACTTACCTGCGATTTATTCATTTACATATTTATTGGACTGCTACCTTGAGCTTCACTAGCCAGTGGTGAATAAGAAAAATATAGTTCTACTCTCCCACAGCTTCCTTACGTTTATTGGGGAAAGCAGACCTCAGTCAACTACTAGAGAAAAAAAACAAGGATAGTGCTATGAAGTAGTGATGTAATGCACCAGGAGAGCATACACTGGGGCACCCAGCCTCTTCTGAGGTGTCAGGGAAGCTGAGGCCCTCAGGGTGAATTAAAATTAGATTGTAAATTAAGGGTGGAATGGATGCTGAGAGAACAGCATTCCAAGCAGAGGAAACAGCATGTGAGAAGAGCCCTAAGTCAACATTTGTCCTGGATTCCTGTAGGTTTTCATAACTTAGAAAATTTATACTCTTAGTCATTGGCAGTCAAAAGAGTTGAAAGTATAAACCCTCCAAGATGAACTTAATTCTGTTTTCAAAATTTGTCTTCTTTACCTCTGTGTAGAAACTGGAAGACTAGTTGTCTGTTACAATTGTGGCGAGATTCCCAACAGGTCCAAGGCAATATCGTAGGATGTATTGTGGGAAGTAAGCCAGCAAGATTTCAACTGCAGATCTCAAATTTGAACACCTGGCTCTGAGTCCTAAATTGCCCTGGAAATTTTAACAATGTTATCTCAAAATTGTATTTGAAAAAAATTAAAGCAAAAATGGTTCTGCTTGTCCCCATTGTGTGTACAGATGATCTGACTGACTTCCTTTGAAGCCTGTTTGAACATACAAATAGATGCAGGCTCACCAGGAATTACAGATATGGTATATAGCTTTGTAGGTGCATGTGATTGCACTGGACCCTCTTATCAAGTTTCAGTTATATCAAATTTTACAGCAGGCTGGAGTCTATGACAGCAGACTTTCTGGAAGCCAAAGTACAGTGTAAGTTCAGAGGTAATGGATGTGGCAGAACCACTTTGCAAACATGAAAGATAGAAGGAAACATTATGTCCCTGTATTTAAGCATTACCAGCCTTTCAAAAATACTTTGCATTTTTCTCCCTCTTCCTACATAACACCATGTAAGATAGTATTGCAAACAAATGCTCAGACGGATGCTGAATTATTCCTAAGAACAAGCTACTGATGTGGATTGGAGAAAAAAAATAGCAAAGCAAGAAATAATAATGTCATTGAGACTGTAGAGTAAAAGGACAGAAGCAAATGTGAGTGAATCAAGTTTTTAGAGAATTTTACCCCCAGGAAAGTTGTGTGCTGTGACTTGATTCATGTAGATTCTTACTTGAGAATAGAATTAACACCCGGAGAATTAGCTGTACTGTATTATTTAAGATTTTATTTATAACCTTTCAGCAATTTTAATAATCAGCATTATCCAGTCAGAAATGTCTTCCGAATCACGATCCCAGGCTCTGACAGCCATGCACTTTTTTTTTAAGAGAGATGATTTATAGTACCTCTCCAATGTGTGACAATTTGGAATCTTCCGGTCCTTGCCTATTCACTATTGTAATTTTACAGCAGACTACGTCATCAATAGCAATTAGAAGACTTAGAAGTTCTATTCTAGGGCTCTTTCCAAAAGGAATATCTAAAGGCTGTCTGTTTCTAAGGACTTTATTGTTCTTTTTTTTTTTTTGGATGTGCTTGGCCAATATAATATTTAAATTTTGGCTATGAGTCAACAGGAATCTCTGTGGCTATCACTGGGATTGGGGTACAGGAAAGCCAAAACTCTTAAGAGGGATCTTTCTCTTTTAGAAAGTTATTCCATGGCAGGTATGTGCTTCTAGAAACACATATATGTGATTTTAGAAGGAATTTACTACATTAAGCCTTCTGGATGAACCACATCTAATAAATACTCTAAATTTTCAAGTACAAAAATCTAATTTCTTTACCATTTAGCAAACCATATTTAAATTAAATGATAGCTTAAAAATTAAAATGTAGAGAATTCTTTTTTGTTTGAGAAAGAAAATATTTTGTGAATCTTAAATAACTTTTTTTTTCCAGTTTCTAGTCATTAAATTTCTTAGGAATGATTTTCAACCAGGACACCATGTTTCAATTAAAACAAACTGAACTAAATGTAGTTAGGTATCCTGGAACAGAAAAAGAACATTAGTGGAAAAACTATTGATATTCAAAATCTGTAGTTTAGTTATTAGTAATGCACCAGTGTTAATTTCTTAGTTTTGACAAGGTACCAAGGTTAAGTAAGATGTTGACACTAGGGGAAACTTAGTGAAGGGTTGACAGGAACTATATGTACAAAATATTTTATAATTTTTCTATATTAAAATTATTCCAAAGTAAAACATTCATTCAAGGCTTAATGTAGTAAAATGTAAAGCAAATTGGGATGTAGATTTCAGGCACCAGAATTGAACTAGCTATTACAGTTGATCATTAAGTTTAATGCCAATCTTAGAAATTAAGATAATGCGGAGTGTCAGTAGATTGTATGGTTCTTGTAAGAAAAAATAATAGATTCATTACCTTCACTTGAAGTTATAAAATTTTCCAGTTTAAGATTTTAGAAGGAATTTACTACATAGATGCTTACATAAGAAATCATGAGTAACTTAAAGGGTAATGTGTTCGACTACTATTTAAGTAAAAAAAAAAAAAAAGATTTTTAGAAAACTGTTTAAGTTCAGGAGTACATGTGCAGTATGTACAGGTTTGTTACATAGGTAAACTGTGTCATGGGGGTTGGTTGTATGGTTTATTTCACCACCCAGGTATTAAGCCTAGTTATTTTTACTGATCCTCTCCCTCCTCCTACTCCCTACCCTCCAACAGGTCCCAGTGTGTGCTGTTCCCCTCTATGTGTCTGTGTGTTCTCATCATTTAGCTCCCAATTACAAGTGAGAATATGTGATATTTAGTTTTCTGTTCCTGCGTTAGTTTGCTAAGGATAATGGCAACCATCTCCATCCATGTAACTGCCAAGGATACGATCTCATTCTTTTTTTCTGGCTGCATAGTATTCAATGGAGTATATGTGCCACATTTTCTTTATCCAGTCTATCATTGACAGGCATTTAGGTTGATTTCACATCTTTGCTGTCGGATGCATAGTTTGCAAAAATGTTTTCCTATTCTGTAGGTTGTCTGTTTACTCTGTTGATAGTTTCTTTTGCTGTGCAGAAGCTCTGTAGTTTAATTAGATCCCATTTGTCAATTTTTGCTTTTGTCGCAGTTGCTTTTGTCACCTTCATCATTAAATCCTTGCCCATGCCTATGTCCTGAATGGTATTGCCTAGGTTGTCTTCCAGTGTTCTTATAGTTTTAGGTTTTACATTTAAGTCTTTCATCCATCTTGAGTTAATTTTTTATATGATGTAAGGAAGAGGTCCAATTTCAGTTTTCTGCATATGGCTAGCCTGTTATCCCAGCACCATTTATTGAATGGGAAATCCTTTCCCCATTGCTTTTTGTTGGTCAAATTTATTGAAAATCAGATAGTTGTAGGTGTGTGGTCATATTTCTGAGTTCTGTATTCTGTTCCATTGGTCTA